CTCTAAGCTATGGGACAAATAGCAACAAGTATACAGGGAATGCGTACGATCTCCTAGACGATAAGATTAAGATCTTCTTCAGCATCTGCTGGCAGGTAGATATCCAGGAGGAGCAGTTTCACGCAGTGTTTCCCCGTATCCTTACCCGGGCGTGCAGAGACGTTCTACATACAGGTTGTAGAGAGAGATGATAGCTTTGCTGATGCGTACATGGCAATCAAAAACCACTTCGACCATGACGTCCATCACCAGCACTACTACACAGACTGGACGACTACAACCTTCGCTCGCACCCGCGCAGAGAACCCTGATAAGGGACTACACGAGGTTCTGCAGATCCTGCTTGACAAGCTGCAGCTATGCCAGCGTGCCCTTGGCAAGAACTTTGAGGGTGAGGATGCCCTCCGCACTACGGTCATCAATGCCTGCCGAGGAGTACCAGAACTTGAGATGGCACTGTTCAAGCCAGCCACAATCTGTGAAGGACTCTTCTCAGATCTACGATCCGCAGTGGAAACACACCTAGCATGGCAACACACCGCCCAGTTGGTCACAGAAGATCAATACTACCTAGACCGCCGATACAACGGCAATGGAAGGATCCGAGGTGGATCTCGAGGTGGAGGAGGATTCAGAGGCGGATCCAGAGGAGCATACCGAGGAGGCGAGCAGCGCGACGACAACGGACGAGGATTCAAGCCACGTTGGAGGAAGAAATGCTTTGTTTGCCGGAAGGAAGGATGCTGGTCTACCAACCACACAGATAAAGAGCGCAAAGATGCCCGTGCGCAGTTCTTCTCTACGCTATACTTTACAGGTGCACAGCCCCCTGAGGACTTCTCCGTACATCTTGCAGAATACGAAGGGATCGAGCACACCAGCCAGTACAATCAGAGAGGCTGGAGAGAGGAGGAAGACTGCGAGGATGACGAGGATGACGACGTCGCGGAAGCACATTCTGAACACCAGTTCTTCAAGGAGCAATGCCTTGCAGACCAGGCGTTCTTGCATCATATCTCGGGCGACGACATATACAGCCGAGACGCGCCGTCAGCACCAGCATCGCAGTTCCTGCTTGAGGACCGCTACACACGATCTGTGTACCAAGGAATCCTACCAGATACAGGCGCTGCAAACGTATCCACGGTCGGCAAGGAGCAATACCTCGCACTTACGAGAGAAGATCCGACGGTTAAGTTAGACACATCTACAGCAGGGAAAGCGTCTATTAAATTCGGAAAAGGCGAGGCTACAGCGTCGATTGGCACCGTGCAGGTCTCTACGGAGATCGGAAAAATCAACTTCGAAGTGCTCGAGGCGCCTACGCCGTTCTTGCTATGCCTTGCAGACATGGACCGCTTAAAGGTATACTTCAACAATACGACAGACGAGCTGGTTCAGGATGACGTACACATCCCGGTGATTCGCAAATGGGGACATCCTTGGTTCCATCTAAACAAGAGAGAGAGAGCAACTATGTTCCTAACGGAGACAGAATTGCGACGGCTCCATCGACGGTTTGGACACCCAGCTGTTACGCGACTAGTCAAACTCTTAAAGGATGCTGGCCATAACGACTTCGAAGAAAGAACCCTAGAAGAAGTCACTAAGTTCTGCCACCACTGCCAGCTCCACAGCTCCGCGCCGCGCCGATTCAAATTCACTCTTAAGGATGATCACCACTTCAACTATGAGATCCTGGTGGACGTAATGTACCTAAGCAACAAACCTGTACTGCATGTGGTCGATTCCTCAACAGCGTTTCAAGGCGCGAGGTTCCTCAGCGCTATCTCAGCTAAAGAAACATGGCAAGCACTGCGGATACTATGGATCGACACCTACCAGGGACCACCCGACATCATCACGCATGATGCAGGTACTAACTTCGCGAGCGCAGAGTTCCGCGCAGAAGCAAAGATCATGGGAGTCACATGCAAGCAAGTACCTACGGAGGCGCACTGGTCTATCGGCAAAACTGAGAGGTACCATGCCCCTCTACGCCGGGCATGGGACATACTCCATGCAGAACTCACTGACACTATGTCCGACGACGCGATTCTCCAGATGGCTGTGAAGGCTGTTAACGATACTGCTGGCCCTGATGGACTAGTCCCGACGTTACTAGTCTTTGGAGCGTACCCACGAATGACTGCAGAGTCACCGCCATCACCATCAATGGTCAAACGCAGCGAGGCTATTCAAAAGGCGACGAAAGCCCTGCGCAAGCTCACTGCAGAGCGCCAAGTTGCAGACGCCTTGAACACCCGCAATGGACCAGCCACTGCAGACATGCTCGCGCTCCCACTCCAGAGCGAAGTCTTAGTATGGAGAGAGAGTGATGGCTGGAATGGCCCGTACAAGATCGCCAGTACAGATGGCCACAACATCACTGTCGACATGGTTAATGGTCCAGCGACATTCAGATCAACTGTCGTTAAGCCATACTACAGACCAGACCACCTGTGGAGCGACCCTGATGCGCCACACGCGCCGAATGAGCCGAATGAGCCGCACGAGCCGATAGCAGTACCTCCGGCAGCGCAACCACGTAGAAGAGGCCGCCCTCCAGGGTCAAAGAACAAGCGGAAGGCGCACGCGTACATCACCAAGAAGGAGCAGGACGATCTTGAGCTAGCTATCAAGCTACGGAACGATGGCGTGATCACAACCTCAGGCGCCCCCTTTGAAGCGTCTGATGACCAAGAGATCAGCGACCTAGTAGGTCGTGGAGTCTTCAAGTTTGAGCAATACGACGAGAGGCTACACAGCAAGATCCGGATCTTTAAGTCACGCCTAGTACGTGAGGTCAAGGGAAAGACAACTAAGCCTTATGAGAAATCCCGTCTGGTTATCCAAGGCTACCAAGACTATGGCAAGGAGGCTATCTTAACGCAGTCGCCAACCATCCAGCGATGTAGCCAGCGCCTGATTATGTCGCTGGCGCCTGGGCTAGTACAAAGCGGCATGAGCGTTGAGCTACGTGATATTACGCAGGCATACCCACAGGCTCAGACAACACTGAAGAGGACGATACTCGCACACCTCCCTACCGAGCTGGTACATCGATATCCAGAAGGCACGATACTCCACGTGATCAAGCCACTATATGGGATCGCGGAGGCAGGAGTCCACTGGTGGACAACATATCACGGACACCACTGCAAGGAACTAGATATGTCAACATCTACGTACGACCCATGCCTGTTGATCACGAACAGCGACGACGCAGACGTCTTCGGCATCGTCGGTATGCAGACAGACGACACCCTCATGCTCGGAACGACCGCGTTCTTATCACGCGAAGAGAAAAAGATCCAGAAGGCGCAGTTTAGATCAAAACCAAAGGCTATGCTGACACCAGAGGTGCAGTTAGACTTTAATGGATGTACACTTACGATGGACGCCAGCAGAGTCTTAATCCTCAGGCAGAAAGGACAAGGAGGAAGGATCAGGCTTGTTGATATTAGGGCACCCGACCGCGCGCAACAGTACACCGAGCAACGCGCCCGCGGAGCGTACATCGCATCAACATGCCAACCAGAGGCATCATTTGATCTGTCCGTAGCTGCTCAAGCGCAGCAACCATCAGACGAGGACATTAAGGCACTCAACAAGCGCCTGAAATGGCAGATGGAGAATCTCACTCGTGGCCTACGCTACGTCACTGTCAACCTTACGGAGGCTAAGTTGATAGTCTTTGTAGACGGCTCCTTTGCCAACAACAAGGACCTCAGCTCACAGCTAGGCTTTGTCCTCATGCTCGTCAACGAGTCCATTGGCGCCAACACCTTCACAATACAAGGCAACGTGATCCACTACAGCTCTACAAAGTGCAAGCGCATCACACGGAGCGTACTGGCCTCAGAGATCTACGGCATGGTCAACGGCTTTGACATAGGCATCGCGGTTGCAACCACGCTAAGGATAGTTACAGAACGACTTGGACTACCTGCAATTCCCTTGGTTATCTGTACAGACTCGTACTCCTTGTACGAGTGCCTAGTAAAGCTTGGGACAACGAAGGAGAAGCGCCTCATGATCGATATTATGGCGCTGCGCCAATCATATGAGCGTCGCGAGATCACGGAGATCCGCTGGATCAATGGCGAAGACAATCCTGCAGACGCCTTCACGAAGGCATCGCCAAACCGCGCTCTTGAACGCTTTATTGACGGCAATAAGCTGACAGTCCGAGTAGATGGATGGGTGCAGAGGCCAACAAGCTTTGATGTTTAATGCTATACACTGTCACTACCGATACAAGCAGAGTTACTAGCTATCCAGAAAGAAAAGACTTCCAGTGTCGGATCGTGAGTATCGGTAGAGACGTCGGCTGCTGGACACTTCGGCCCGACTTCGGCCCACCTTGCGCAAGAGCTTAGGTATACCTTCGTAGCACCTATGTTCGTAGATATCAATTAGAACCACCGAACAGAATGCATTCCTAGTTATCGTTATTTCCCTTTACGCACTTAGTGCAAAGCCAACCAACAGGCACGCTTATATGCGCTTTTAAACTTTGTAGATACCCATGTACGTACAAGGGTATAAGATTGTTCTTTTCCGATGCCTCTGCTTGACAGAGAAATAAAGAAGAAGAAGAAGAAGAAGAAGAAGAAGAAGAAGAAGAAGAAGGGATTTCACAGGTTTCGAAGAGTGTTATGACATTTAGGAGGTAGATGCATAAACAAGCGTGTGTCATGTGTACATGTAGCTTAGATTAGATAACAACGTCATGCATGTACCGTTAAATCCATAGAAAAGTTTCTGTTCTGGCAGAACCGCATAGAAGGGTTATAGAGATATCATCCTATAACGGAGACAGTACATAAAGAGTACGTGTATAACGTTCGCTAGAGGGCGGTTACACACTAGGAGACAAGAGGGTGTGGTTTTAGAAAGCAGTGCCTTGATCAACTGGAGCACATTGGTGAATATATCAGTTGGAGGATCTCGGTAACTTTGGTGGAGTAGATAATTTCTGTTACTAGTACGAGAGAGATACTTATCATTCAACAACGCGCATCTCTACTACACTAAAAACCTACCGTCTGCCGTCTATTCAGAGTACTCGTAAGCGTAGCGACACTATAACCTAACGTATAATACACTATACCTATCTAATATCAATATCCAACTTCCCGCTTCACATCACCACCATCACTACCCCAGCCGATCCACACACCCGAACGCTCTAACATACCCATCGATCACATTCAGTCTACCTATCCACGCATTCCTTCTGGCTTCCTCTCTGCTTTTTTTGTTGAGCAAGTAGCGCAACACCTACTATACGGATATATTGGACGACGTTTCGCCTCGCCAAGAGGGGGTACCCATTGTCTCGGGAACGGGGCGATGTTGCAAAGTGTGTGCGAAATCTACGTCGCCGCATTGGATGTAAAAGCGGCGTTGTTGTATGCCACGGGCAATAATGTTGTTGTTGTATTTACCCCCCATCTTTGTTGATAACGTTTGAGGTTGCATATACGATACTGATGGCGATGCATGTTTACTTACCTCCGGTGGGTTAGGTGCCCGGGCGATGCACGCTAAGCCCGCTTTCAAACTAGCCACCTGGTCTTTCCCCCCTCCCCGGTCAAGCAAATCCCGAGCTTACCTCGTTTGGGCCACGTACGTACCTACGTACACATGTCAGCGGGGGGAGGGAGCTGCTTACCTAGGTACTGTTACTGTACCGTACCATATTATCAACGTCAACATCTAACGTGCATGCAAGCGAGTGTACCAAGCGACAGCCCGAGCCGTCAAACAGACGTCACAATGCCGTTCTACGAGATCATTGAGAAAGACGAGGCGGGTAATGTGACGGCGACGTATGTGCGTGATGATGCGGTGGGTAAGAAAGGAGCTGGAGCTGGAGGAGAGAGGGTTGATGTTATTGTATGTACACCTCCCCTCTACTTTCCGTATACCCTCTACAAGCTTGAAAGTTTAGATCATGGAGTTGTTACACCACCTTCTACACTTCATCCAATGCAGATACTACCACACCATCTTCCAAGCTCATTCTTTGGCTAACCAAACCCCGTCGTTACACGTAACAGGTACCGCAAGCGTCCAAAAATTATGCTCACCAACTCCTCGATGTCTTCTTACCCACGGGGTTTCCGGCGAGTGTGACAGATGATTATATTCATTATCAGATCTATGTATGTTTTGTACAATCCCATTCAACTTGTTCTTTTGAAAAGCCACGAGAAGGACTTGAGGAATGGATGAGAATGCAAAGTTAATACATGTTTTTTTTTAGGATTCCCTGCAGGCGTTTTCATCGTCGATTGCGGGTATGTTGGCAAGTCGAGCCATCTTGGAAGGTATGTTTGTTTTGAACGATTTCTCTATTCTTTACTCTCTGTTTTTGTCATATTTTTTCTTTCTTTCTGTATGTTGTGGTCTTTTGTTTTTTCTTCTCGCCTATCTTGTAGGGTGCAATGTGTTGATTCCGTGTGATCATGAACCACACACACACACACACACACATGTCCAAAAGAAACCCCCACTAAACAAACACACCTTCCGGACTTCCGTACATTGAAATCCAAATAATGAATAAAAACACAGGTGTCGGCGTCGGCGACTCGACAGCCACCCCCACAACGGCACTCCTCCTCTCCGTTATCCAGACATCCGTCGGACAAATCGCCACGATCCTCTTCGCCCATCGGCTGGGCACAGCCCTGGAACCAGAGTGCAAAATGTATCGCTTAGCTGCTGACGTTTTCAACGACACAGCCATGGTACTGGATTGCCTATCGCCCGCCTTTCCCAAGTCGATTCGTGTGGCCGTGCTGAGCTTCTCGAGCTGTTTACGCGCACTATGCGGGGTTTGTGCCGGAAGTTCAAAGGCTAGCCTGAGTGCGCACTTTGCGCACAAAGGAAACTTGGGCGAGGTGAACGCAGTGAGTTGATTTTTCGCTCTATTTTTGGGATCTCATTATCGTTTGTTTTGTCGGTGTTGTTAAAAAGGGAGAGGGGCTGACCGTGCTGAGTAGAAAGACTCGAGCCAGGAGACGGTCATCTCGCTGTTAGGCATGCTCGTAAGTGTATCTCAAGTAAACTATTCACAGCCCTGTGCGCTGATGAACAGTCATACAGGCAGGCAGCCTCGTTGTCTCACAGATTACCTCACCGCTCGCAACATGGGGCACTCTCATCCTCTTGCTCACCATTCACTTGGCCACAAACTACGCCGCCGTCCGAGCTGTCAACATGCACTGTCTGAACCGGCAACGCGCCAACATCCTGTTTAGTAACATGTTTCAACACGGCCTCGTACTAAGCCCACGAGACGTGTCCCAGCGCGAACGGGTCTTTGAGAGGGGCGGAGTGCTGCGCTGGTCTGACGACAAAGTACTAGGCAGGTGTAGCATAGGCGTCCCACTACAGCGATTACTCAACCGGCTAGGCACGCCGCACCAGCAGACGGGCTCGCTCACACTCAAGTCAATGCAGATATCCGACCTTCTAGAAGTTTTTGCAAATGAAAGCCTACATATTATTGCCGGGCCTCGACTGCCGACGAAGCGCTGATTGTGCT